CTCCGCCTCTAAAACAAGCAGTTTTCCTCTAAACCAGAAGGTGGCAGCGATGTTTTAGAATTTAATACATTACCCAAAAACAAAAATAATTCACAATAATAAACTACAAATTAACTTTTACACAATTTTATTTTACATTTTTTACAAATTAGTCTTTGTTTTATGGGGTAGTGTTTGTCTCTGCAGTCATCTAGGAGTCTTCCATGTAATAAAGATAAAGAACAACTGCTAAACCCATTTAATTTATATATTAAGTAGATCCATAAACTCATTTAAACAGCACTTGTGTGTAAATATGTTATAGCTTTATTAGCAAGGGCCTCATGAAAACCATTGTCTTCAATTCGATTCAGTTCAATTATACTTTATCAATTATTAATTTGGAAATTATGGATGATGTGCTCGTTCATTTTCCTGCTGGTTCGTGACCCGTGTAGGTTTAACGCCACCCTTCATTGCACAATGATCCCTGCCTGGCTAGTCGATGAATATATTCTGGAACCGCCATCCTATCAGCATTGAGAGTGAGGAGTACAGGGAACTGCTTGGCCCATCACACCTTTAGCCATCTAGATAAATTTGTATAACTTCTCTCAATATTCAGAATAGACCGCCTAAATACCACACAGTTGGTGCTGGTTGCATTATAGTAATTGCATTAGTTCTAGGATCTTGCATATTTATACCAATCCAGTTGTAAAAACCTGTATCGTTCATATTGTCATCATGATCAAAAGGATCTCACAATTTTCGCTCAGATAATTTTTCTTTTGGTTTAGCTTCATTTAACAACTATAGGAGAAACAACTGAATTCCAGGAGTAAACAAATACATAACAGTAAATGTTGGTGTGTGAAAATGAGAAAAAATATATATCAGATAAATGAAAAAATATTCAATTTGCCAAGAACATCTTTTGTTTTAAATGCTTTTCGGTTTTCCATTCATCCATTTTCTTCCGCTTATCTGGGGCTGGGTCACGGAGGCAGCAGTCTGAGCAAAGATGCCCAAACTTCCCGATCCAGACACACTTCCCAGGCTACTCTGGGGGGACCCCGAGGCGACACCAGGCCAGCTCGAAGACATAGTCCCTCCTGCGTGTCCTGAGCCTTCCAGGACGCCTCCTCCCAATTTGACATGCTTTTTGGTTTTCAAGTTCTTTATTGTGATGTTATTTTTATGAGAGTAGATTTGTTTCTTTATTATTCAATTAAAAAAAGTTGCTTTAATCAAAACATATATCTTCAATTAAAAATCCCTTCACTTCATTGAAAAAAAGCTTTTCAATCAAAGACTAAAATTCTTTGAATGCAAAAATATAGTTGAGACTCAAAAAAATACATTTGACCTCTGCTTTTCTTTGGTAGAAGTCATGTTTTTTTTTTTCTTAAAGCAACTTTTTTGATTGAAGTAATTTTTTTTTTTTTTGATTGGACCATATAATGAGTAGGGCATTTATGTCTTTATCATTCAATCAAAAAAACTTTGCTTCAAACAAACCACCAACAAAACCAATAAAATAGTCACTTCAATGAAAAGAATTTGTTTTGTTTTTTTAAGTGAAAAAGCTTTGACTTTTTTGTTTTTTATTATTATTTTGACACAAACGTCCTGCAGTGGGCGGCTGCTTCTCTGTTGGTCAGACATGTTTGATTGAAAAGTGTCTACACTAACAACTTTCTGACAAAGAGGTCATGTTAGACAGCAAGCTTTTGCCCATAGACCTCATATACATAGATGCCTCGTTGTACAGGGTCTGCCTATTCTGCGGATGAGTCAGAGTGTCTGTCATGTTGAATGTGGAAAATCTGCTGTTAGACTCAGACACTTAAACAGTATCAGAGTGACTTTAATTTTCAGAATATACTTTATATTTTTAATATTTTTATTTTTGTAATATCACAAGTTTATTTTGTATCCGCTTGGCTTCATTCTCCTGACTTCATTCCGTAAATAAAAATACTGAAAAGAATCTAACTTTTCTATCTATTACTCCATGACTGAAATAGTTCTGCAAACTGTGACTATTCCGGAAATGTTCCCTCTTAATTCTCATAACATGAAATTTTTCTCATATTACCACTTTTGTCTTTTTGTTTTACTTTATTGTCCTTGGAGTTTTTTTCCTCACAATAGTAATTATATCTATTTAATTATTCCCAAAAAAGTTGTTTCCTAATCCGTGCCTATATCAGAACTGAAAATGTTCACATGAGACAGTTTTATGAAATAATGAAGACCTAAATGTTTAGATCTATTCATAACACAAACACATTTCTATGCATAAAAGATAAATGTATACATATGACTGTATGTATGTATATTTATGTGTATGTATACACATGTATATATATATACACTCATAAATATATACACATATACCTATATCTTCAGTTCAGTTTCAACTCAGTTTATTTATAATGTGGCAATTCCCAATACATGTCATCTTACAGAGACAATTCAACCAAATAATACAGTCAAATTGATTTATTTTTCTATCTAAGGAAAACCATTTGATTTGCATCCGCACATTGACTCAAAGGCAAGCCCTCTAACCAAACATGGTTATAGCAACAGCAGTCTAAACCCTCCCCTTCCAGAGATAAACCAATCATAGTTAGAAAAAATCATGGGATGGATGGTTCAACAGAGTTATGACCCTGGGTGAGTTTGGCAACTGTATTAAAAAAATATCAAACATTATTCTTATTCCCCTCTATTAATGAGGAAAAATATGCTGTTCTTGCTTTACAAAGGGTCTTCTTATACAGCAGTAAACTATTTTTCCAGACTAGGTAGGATTCCCACAGGCAGGTAGAGCGCCATTTTCTCTTCTTTCCTAGCATTTTGCTTCAGAGTGCGCAGCTCTGAATTAAACCACCTACTGTAAGTGTTTGGTTGAGGTTTGAGGACCCAAATGCAGAGGTGGGGAGGCAGAGGTGAATTCTTTCAGTTTTAATGAATAATCACAGTTAACAGAGGCAGGAAACCAAAATACAACTTAAAATGTAAAACTAACCAGAACCAAGGAGACACCAGGGAAAACAAGCACGAGTAGTTAAGGAACCAAGCCCCTGTAGTACGTAGTGTATACGTATGTATTAAATAACCAGGATACATGAGAACAGATTTTTATTAGAATTGTAATCTTACTCAGACCAGAGAAGTTGCTTTGAGTTACAGAAGGCAGCTGCTTACCAACCGGGCTCACCTCTCATTGAAAACTCATTAGAATCATTAGAGAAGCTTTTATACATCTCCAACATTAAAGAAGTATTTTATACATCTCCAGTCTGCATCATCACATCATAGACATTTGTAAACGAGGAGACATCTGTCGGGTTCATAAATGTAGGTTTGAAAAAGAAGAACTGAAATACACAATAATGGATACAATTTCTGCAGAAAGGAGAGACAGTTGAACCCCAGACTCAAACACACTGCCTCGCACTGGACCTCCTCCGCAGAGCGTTTATTAACAGAGCATGACGCATGGTTACAAACAGAGTATTGTTCTGACAGAACAATTGATCAGTTCATGAAGACAGAATGCTCCATCAGAATGACAAAGCAGGATGGTCTCCTGACTGAATTATGAGACAGGAGTGGAGCATCCCCTCGCACAAATGTTTTATAAGCACACATTAATTTTATAATCATCATTGAATAAACATAACAACATCCATGGCTCCAGCGATATGGAAATATTGCACCATGTTATTAGATTAAGGACATCGCTCTCATTCCATTCCCAAATCTTTGCCATGTTTCTAATGAAGATGACTTTATGACAGGAGCTGTCCTTATTAAATCAACTGCTTGGGAAAACATTTGCTCTGACATGTAACAGGCAGGTGTTATTAAGGTTTAACAGACTCACACATCGTCAATAAAAATAATCCTAATAGTCTCTTAACTGCAGATAAAGAATCGTATCTGAATCGAGCTGCTGGTTTTAAAACATTTATCTCCAAATTTTACTCTAAGATGTAAACATATGGGTCTGATATGCCCCCTGCTGGTAGAACCGTGGAAGTCCCGAATTGAACATCATGTTTAGATGACTGGAAATCTGACCTCATTATGATAGGGAAGACCTTTGACTCGGCTCTGACTTGTATGCTAATGACAAGCGCCTGGAGTTGAACTGCTTCCTTTACTGGAAATGACTTGATGCTGTCAGTAAAATCTAAATTTAAGGTGCAATAGTAGAAATAATTGATTGATTCACACTGGTTGGTTTCCTCACATCATTAAAGACTCAGGAATAGCTCAGGGTTATTTGTTCAGGACTTGAAGTTTAACCAGAGGACTTAGACTGTAGGAGCAGCCAAGGGCTGAACTGGGTCTAGTTTAGATGACATGGTTCTGTTGGATCCCTTCTGAGATGTACAGCTCACACTTGGCAGTTCACCACCAGAGATGAGAATCAGCTCCTCCAAGTCTGAGGCCTTAGTTCTCTTCTCTGAAAGGTGGATTGTCTCCTTCAGGTCAGAGGAGAGTCCCTGCCTCAACTGGAGGATTCAAGTACTTTGGGGGTTCTGTTTAGGAGAGGAGAATGAGGTAGGAGATGGATAGATGGATCAGTGCTGCTGCTATGATAGTGCAGCCTGTGGTAGTGAAAAGGCAGGAAAGCAACGACTAGGTCCCACATCAGATAGATGCAAACTTCAGTTTACAGTTACTCTGCGTTAAAACCATCCCCTTGGGGAGCAGTGGGCTGCTATTGTGGGATTACCAGGGAGAAATCTGGGGTTAAGGGTCTTGCTCAGGAACCCAGAGTGGAGGCAGTGGGACTCGATACTTGCAACCTTCTCAGAGCACAAGCGTGCTGCTCTAAACCACTAGGCCTAGTAGGTTAGAGCAGCACGACTTTGATCTGAGGCCCCTAAATAACTGAGTCACACTCGTTATCAGGTGTTCATCGGTTCAGCACAATAAAACTTCAACAAATAGAGTGGTCCATAACATGATTTATTGATGTAGACAGGAACAATAGGGGGATGGAGGGGGTGAAGGTAGATCTTGTTTTTGGTGGTTCTTTACTTTAAAGTTACAGTTTGAAACAGTAACATATCTATCTATCAGTAAGAGGCTGATAAAATGTAACGGAACAAGAACAAACTGAGTAAATTCACATAAATCAGCTAAAGCAAACTGAGCCAAGATGAGAAATTAAAGCCAAGTTAAATACAGACAGAATAGTTGGTAAAAGAAAAATCTTTGAAAGAAATGATAAAGAGGTTTATACGGCTAAAATAGATCCAGGTTATATCTATTTGGTTGCTCTCTATAACTTGACCACTAGATGGCAGCAAAAAACACTAGGATTAAAACAACACGCTCCAGAAATTCAACATTTCTATGATAAAAGCTGAACTATGTGCTGTTGCTTTTGTTCTTCCTTTGCTAGGAGCAGTGAGGTTTTAAAAGTTATGTTTCCTTTAGTGAACCCAGAATCTAAACAATGACTGAGGTCAGCTGGATGTCTCCATCAATCTCCAGGGTGTTGATGTTATGCAGAGGAGTGAAGCGATGGTTGTAGTTGTGGGCCTGCATCCCGTTCACCACAATCCGGAAAGAGCTGTTCTCACAGATGATGGTCAGCTGGAAGAAACCAGGTTCAGAGAGGTCATTCCAACTGTTTACTGCTTAAATGTCTTTGGGATTTCTACAGAAAGCTCAACACAAACCATGTCCTTAAGATAGACTGAAGATACCTTAGAAAGTAATCATATCTTCAACCTGCTCCATATCAGCTTTAGAAATCTTACAGATACAGAAAACTAACAGTCTAGCCACAATTTAACAACATTTAGCAACAGCTAACAAGAAGGGGAACCAGTCATGGCTGGGGATAGCCCCTTTCAGGGCTTTTACATTTGCTCCGTCTGCTCTGACGAAGATTCGCTCACCTCAGTATGATGGATGAGTGAAACTGACAGCATGACCTTCTGTTCTAATTTAGCTAATGATTGTTGAATCACTCTATCGCCCTTAGAAATAATTATTGTTTATTCCTTACATGGTCAGTTAAGCCTTTAAATACAAAGAAAACAACAAATAGATGATGACATCACAGAGGAAGTAGAGAACCCAGCGCTGAAACAGCCAAACACTGAGTTTCACGCCGCCGACCCATGTATGCACACATTATTCAGAGCAGAGGTGCATCAGCTGTCAGGGAGTTTAATGTTTTCATACCGAGAAAGACTGTCCTCGCTGGAAGGGCATTCCTCCGCCTCGTGCCTCGGAGCCCCACTGCCCATGCTGCTTGGTGTTTCGGACCACCGTGTTCTCGTTGAAACGTGGATTATAATGCAGAGCGATTCCAGTCTGGTGGCTGAGGTTCACATGGAACCTGGGAGGAAACGGAATATCAGACAAAAAAATGTTTTAAATTGACAAGATTTAACTTTAAGCTCAACTCTAACTAGATCAAATCATCAGCGATGGGGTGAGACATTAGGAGGCGTTATGTCACTTTACAGAACAAAGAGTTCAGTTTGATTCTTGTGGACAAATTGATAAATTAACTGTTGGAAATCTTTATTCCACTGAATTGGACTCAACGGGATCAGATCTACTCTGGTCAACAAGTGCAAGAAACAAGGAATTGAAAAAGGTTTATGGTCAAACAAGCAGAGCTCAAGGCCTCAAAATCCGTTTCATTCATGGGAGTTGAACCAGGGACATATCTGCTAGTTACTGCCTCTCTGGGACTTCAACTTAGAAGCACTGTGGCTGGAAAGATGGAAGAATAGAAGGAAGGACAAATAGACTGAAGGATGAGTTGACCTTTGAACTGGAGGACTGTAAGAAACTAGGTTAGAAAAGCAGATATGATGGTTAGAACCAACATGGCCGACGTTGCTATAAGCAGCAATATTGAACTTATGACAGAAGCATAACTGAGCTAGAATAGAATAGAATAGAGTAGAGTAGAATAGAAAATCCCTTTATTGGTCCACAATGAGGAAATTCTGGAGTTTACAGCAAAAAGATGATAGAAAAAATGGTCACACAAATGTGGACCTTAGAAAAATGTATACTAATAATATAATAGTGAAGAAGTTAAAAGATAAACAATAAAATACTGTCCTGTAAAGTGTTTTAACAATATAAAAACTGCACCTGGAGAATAAATAATTCATATACAGCTATGGACATTGAAAGAGACATCTGTCAATTGAGGTCAGAAAAGACCAGCAGAACCTTTCAGAAAAAGAACCTTTAGCTTCTAACCCTTCTGTTGAACCACCTTTTGTTTCAGTTCTAACAGTGAAAATGGATCTGGTTGAGAAAGAGGTTCTTGGACTCCTGATCACTTCCTCAGAATAAGCAGGAAACTACAACTTTGTAGATTTTCTCACACTGACATTGTGTCTGTTTTAGTTTTCTTAGAATGGCTATGACCTGGATGACTGAGAATCTTCACCAGCATATTTCACAAGAGCACCAAGTTGGACAGAGACTAGATATTGCAATTAAGTGAGGGAGGAAGAGAATGTTCTGCAATAAAAGTTATTGCAAAAAATTATTTCTGGCTTTATTTCTAAGAATTTACCCCTTGGTCACTGCTGCTCAGGCGTTAAAGCTGCACTCTGTAACATTGAGAAGAGAGCAGACTTCGACTGAAAATTTGAAGAAAAACAGGTTTCACGCCACTCCCCCACCCTCTCTGCTTCACTCATGCCCCACCTCCAAGCTCCACCCCTCTCACAGCATCTGTGCGGCTACCGCATGCGACCAGAAGCGTCCAAGCAGCGTACGCGGCATGGAGTGTGAACCGGTAAGAGCGATAACACTCACCTCCAAGCAGCTAGATATAAGATGCTGGTTATACCGAAGTTTGTCGTGTAAGCAGTTGTCGGCAGGGGCAGTAAGGGCAGTTTCTCTTTCGCTGGTGGCTGCCGCTCCGCCATGACTTCCACGCGCGTCCTCCTGACTGCGGCAGCCGGGCGGCAGCGGCAGGTTAAGCGGTAAGAGGGGGGGGGGCGGGATTCAGCGTGTGTGAGCTGTGATTGACACTCCATCAGACGCTCCTCTGGCTGTGATTGGTTGTTTTGACTAACGTAATGCTACGTTCACGCGTCTGCTGCTTCATTTTTGCTGCTTGTACCAGTTAGTTCTGACGCGCGGCTGAAGCAGCTTTGCTGCTCTGGCTGCGCGGTGCAAAAGTGGGTCTGATGCGCGTTGGGCGGAGCTACTCTATCCTTTCTTTGCCTTGCAGCTATATTTGCAGTGATCAGTGGGAATAAAGTAGTTTTAATATGTTTTTAAGTGAGAAAGTCCACCTGAAAACTTCATCATTGCAGTCAGTTCATCCAGATTACCATCCTGCCTTCTAATATTAGTTCTGTCGGAGGCGCCCAGACCCCCACATACCAGCGGTGCGCCGACAGTAGGGTCCCATTCAACAGCAGCCTCTGGCCGGGTCGCCTCCTCGCGGTTCACCGCGGCAGCTGGTAGATGTTTTTCATCTATATAATCTAAACTGCAGGCACCAGGATAATAAAAGCGAACATATTCTGCCGGCAGATTTCTGCATTTTAAGTTAATTTATGCGTCAATAAACTGTTTCAGAGGAGTGATCACAGCGCTCTGTGTCATCAGTGATGTGTCTGTCTCTCTGCCAGCTCCCAGGTTTGATTAATACTTTGTAATAAATACATGAATAAAGCACAAACATACTCAGTTTTGCTCCCGCTCTATTTTTAATACGCAGTAGAGGTATTTAAACGTAGTAGAGGACATGAACCGGTATATAAAACCTGCGCCCTATAGTCCGGTGTGCCTTATGTGTGTGTTAAATACAGTAATGGCACACATAACTGAGACTGCGCCTTTTAGGACGGTGCGCCTTATGGTCGTGAAAATACGGTATAAAAAAAAAAACATTTTTTGGGAAAAACAAAATTTAAGATAACAGCAAAATTCCTCTCAAAACCTTTTTTTATTCCTGCATTTACATTTAAATTTACAAAATATGTTTTTCTAACAATAAAATGATCTGCCTAACTTCCCGCCGAATCAGAGGGATGTTATGCCAGGATCTCCAGGAATCATGGCAATCTTGACCTGGCTGACATTGTGTGACTTTTATAGGATGTACTTCAACTTTCTATTCTAAAATCTCTACTGTTAAGGTTTGATCTGTACAGGAAATGAAATAAAGGTTTGTTTGTTTTTTACCTAGTGGCATTGGGCTGGACGACTCCCTGAATGGTGATGGTTCTGCCTGGCTGGAGTCCGCCACTGATGTAGTTGTTATATGGAACAACCTGTGCAAATAGGGAGAAGAGACTACAGATGATCTGGTGTTTGGATAGAATTAAAATCATTGGATTTGAGTATAAAATGAAAAAAAAGAGCATCTGAAGATGATTTCTACTCACAGGCATTGCAGGAGGAAATCCTGGCTGGGGTGTGAATCCAGGCTGAGGAGGAAACCCCGGAAAGGATGGAAAACCAGCCTGAGTGGGAAAGGCTTGCTGAGGAAATGCGTGCAGAGAAGAGAATAATCAGCCTGAGGATTTGTCTTGTTTCCAAAAAAAACTCTGATTTTCTTACTCACCACAGGAGTGGAGAATGAAATGGAGGAAATTTCCACTTTTCCACCGACTGCTATGGTGTCAACCTGCTGGAACGGGATACGGTGTCTGTAATCCATGAAGTGGCTGCCGTTCACGCTCATCTAGAAAGGGAAAAAAAAGTTATTTCTCACATTTGTCAATGAAATATTACGTTTAAGAAACTTGAAGAAAGTTTAAACAGCTCTCAGGAAACTGACTCACTAATCATCATTTAACCGCTTTCACTCCGTCACATTAAAAGTTTCAGGATGCTGTGGGGTAATTTTCCCATAAAATGTCAGACTGTGATTAAATCAGACAAAATATAATCCAGTAAAATAGAAAACGTTGGTATTTAAACTCTTTTCACAGCCACAGTGTCAGTTTCTACATCCAAAGGATGTTTTTCTGTCTCCCACGGTGCTATGACTCAGTTTCCTGTCTAATCAGCTCAGAGTGCAGAGAAACAAGCCAAAATCTTCATTTGATTGACATTTCCTGTTGTGACAGTGGCGTTGGCTGCAGGAGTTTGCTCTGCAACCAGAGGGTTATTGGTTCAAGCCTCGGCTCCGGCTTTCAGCATCATTGTACCCTTGGAAGAGACATTTCACCTGCATTGTCTACTGATGGTGGTCAGAGGGCCTGGTGGCGCCTGTGTACAGCAGCCGTGCTTCTGTCAGTGAGCCCCAGGGCAGCTGTGGCTATAATGTAGTTTGTCACCATCAGTGTGTGAGTGTGAATAACTGAATGTACTGTAAAGTGCTTTGGTAAAGCCTCTTGACTTGAAAAAGTGCTATAAGAGTACACGCCATTCACTACTATTATATTTCAGATTTAAAGATTCCCCCAAATTAGAGACTGAAGGCTCTCGTTAAACAGTCAGATCTCCTACAGAAAACACAGAAGATGGATAAAACTAAAGGTATTTATCCTTTAAAGCTACAGTGTGTAATTTTCACCGACATCTAACGTCCAGACTGCAGACCGCAGCAACATGAACATCTCCCCCCCACCGCTTCTCCCCCCCAACAGTACGGCGAGCGTTACGGGACAAAATGTCTTCCACAACGTCCGCATCACCTACCTTCTCAAGTGATGAGGTTTGTTTACATAGATAATTTTACAGATAGTATTTCATTAGTCTGTGTGTTCAGTACCGTCTCAGTTAATCTCTCTCAACTTGCCGTAGTTACTTTCGAGCGTAATGGGCGATCTCGCAATCGCTAGTTTGTTGGCTCTGCGCTGCCGTAGCGCAAAGATGTCTGCCTCCATGGCTGCGAGACCCGCTCCTATGTAATTATAAATAACGAATTCTAAGGCAACGCAAATATTAAGGTTAAGAGGCTGAGCTCGTAGATGATGATAAATAACATAGTTATGTATAATATATTACATTTCTGACTGTATATCCCTGTAATTATTACACACTGTAGCTTTAAAAGCTTATTAGCCTTAAAGTTCAAAAGCTTTTTTGCTATATATCAAAGTTTCCATACAGTTACTATAAGTCAGTCTTTCCTCTTCTATTCTCTACTGAAAAAGAGGAGGGAATCACCATAGCAACCAGTCACTTAGCATGTTTTAAAGCTCTGTTTCTTAAATTATTCATTAGCGACAAAGGAGAAATCTGTGCAGTTGTCTTTTTTTTCAGGAGGTGATGATGCCGACCTGGTAGAAATCCCGTGTAACGGTGATTTGCAGGGTGAAGTTTTGTCCAGAGTGAAACGGCGTGCTTTGCTTCCTCTCCTCTGAGCCCCAGTTACCGTACTGGAAGGTGTTGGTCACCACATAAGGGTGGCCGTCATTATAACGTGGGTTGAAATGGAGGGCGATGTTTGCCCCCTGACTGGAACCGCACTGCAAGTTCACGTGGAACCTGAGGAGTAAAAAAAAAAACTTTAAAGTTTAAAGAAATTTGAGACTGAGGAGAGCGATTCAATATATTTATTCATTTATGGGCATAAAAACATAACCTGACTCCGCCAGATGGATTTGCTCCGCATATCCATCTGCAAACCTTCCGTAGAGGTAATTTTGGGAAGGGGCGAAAATACTGGTTAGCTGATTGGCCTATGTTGGTGATAGACGGGCCAAATAAACCAATCAGATCAACGAAGCATAAGACGTAACAGAGCGACGACGAAAACACAACCACAAGCCAGGCTACTCTTGCCGAAACCAGTCGGGAGAAGAGCATAAACATCTTTTCTTTGAGAAAATTCTCCAGAGCAATGTTTTGCTCTTCTTTCAGTGAAGAAATACTCTGTAATTCCGATAAAACTTGCTCGATAGCCACGCTAACGCTAGTTTCATCGGCTGAAGCCACCATGTTCTTTAGACTGAACTGTCGCGCTTCTCGTTGCGTCACACCTCAACCCGCCTCAAAGCCAACGCTGATTGGACGTTCGTTTGGTGAACGGCTCCAAATTTTCTTCAACGGAGAGTCTCCAGACTGATTAGCGAGTGAAATCTTGAAAGCTCACGAGATCAGGATGGTCTCACGAGGCTAATAAAAATAGACTATTTACAGAAACAAAAAAGCTGTTCAGAAATTTGGTTTGTTAAAGATGTTTCTAAAGTCTAATATCTGCTGGGCACTAATATGGGCACTTAGGGTGAAGCCTAAGGCTGAAATAATTAGTCGTGATTAATCATCATTGAGATAATTGTCGACTATTTTAGTAATAGATGCATCGTTAACTGGAGTATAGAGAATGTAAAAACACGCCTTTAGCTGACAGAGCGATCCACTTAGAGTAGTAATTAGTGGTGGGCTGGTATCGGCTCTGTGTTAATACTAGACTCTTATCTGGCGATAAAAAAAATATCGCTGTTAATCTATTCACAGTGGGGTTGGGAGCTGGGTCTTACTAATGATGACTTTCACCTTTATACTTAGCAGGGATGTATATATGGTGTGGATGTTTATCCAGGGGGAGTGAATGAATCAGTCTTCCAACCTGTGTAGGCTTACTGTAAAATGACCACATCGAACGTGACGTGCTGACATGGATGCAGCTACAAGCCCAGCTCTACCAGCCAAGCTAACCAATCTCCTCTCTCAGTGGATAGCTACATGCTGCCCGCCCATCAGCGTGGTGGAAGATGATGGGGTCGAGCTCATTCTCCAGGTGGCCACAGTTGACCCATCAAGAGGAGACTACATGACCACCACGCCACGGAGAAAGCCGTGAAAGACGAGAAGTTGATCGAGGCAACATGTGTGTCAGGTTTTTGGAGACATTATATTGTTAAAGTGGAACATTTATAAATAGAAGTGGGATCCATCCATTTTCAGACACGCTTAATCCCAAGTGGGGTCGCGAAGGGGGCTGGTGCCCATCTTCAGCTGTCTACAGGCGAGAGGTACACCCTGGACAGGTCGGAAGTGGGGCAGATGAGCAAAAAAATAATCTATAACTTAGTAGATCTTAAGTAAGAAGACAAAATTACGTGTGATTTTTGCAAAAAAGTAAACCTTTTCTTTTAAATTCTGGAGATAGTACACACATATTATGAATTTCTTTGGAAGAAACTGTAAAAACAAATATAGAAACATTTTGCAATTAAAGGTATTTATTACTGGGTGGATCATCTAAATAAGTGGTCGTTCTAATTGTCAATCATTCTCGTGATAGGTTTACGTGAGGCCGTCCTATATGCTCTTCCTGTTAGCCATCTTTTTCTGCGCATGCGCACTTTCAGGCGTATATCTGTGGTGAGCTACGCTTTCAGACAGTCATTGAAGCTCACCTTTCTCGCCGCGGTTCTTTGAAAATGGCCGAGGGTCGTAAGAGAAAAAGTGTCTAAGTGTATGAGAAGAAAAAAAAAGCCTCAGAAGAGGCAGATATATCCCAGAATTCTTTGTGTGGAGAGGTCTCCTCGCAAAGCATTACGGGATTTGCTGTCACAGCAGCTCGCTGTCGCCATAGGCTGTCGCTACCCGACAGCGGCGACTAATAACTAAGATGGCGCAGGCATGGTGCAGTGGAGGAGGAGTTACGTGACCAAAGGGGAGCAAAAAGCTGTGATCATCTGTCTGAATGGTAATTTAACTGAGTTTACTATAAAGTCCCCTATATATCAACAGCTCTATATAGTGATTGAGGGTTTTAAGGATTATAGCGGACGTTTGGACACAGTAAGCTTTTATGAGCTATTAGAACAGTAAGTGTATGAAGAGAAATGGGCCGGTGGATGCTCTCGCAGGCATTTAATAGGCGTTCCATCTCAGAAGCGGGTATATGGTTGTTCTTTTTTTTTTTTTAAGTGGAGAGGGCGGGTCTTTAAAGCAACTTGTGAAAAACCTTCACAGAACCGTTAAGATAAAAAAAAAAAGCCTTCCTCTGTCAATATGCTCCATCCAGAATCCAAGTGGAAAAGTTTTAGTTTCACCTGCTTGAATTTTGTAAAAAAAATCTTCTTTAAAGAACCTATCTGATTATTAATTGATCAATCAAAAAAAGAATCGACAGATTAATGACTGGCAAAATAATCATTAGTTGCTCCTCTGAATAGTTACCAACCGGTCTACTCCAGGAACGACTCGTCCGCTGATGATGATCGACTTGCCCTCCTGCAGGCCTCCATGGATGGATCCAGTGAAAGGAATCCTCTAAAATACAAATCAGAAGTTAAATAAAAATATCTGTGTTGTCTGTCTGACAGTGAGCAAAACAAAGGTTACATTTTCTTCTTTGTTGCTACTTTTGGCCCAATTTTTCCCCACAGATCTTAGAACATCAGATGCTACCATCTCTCCACCTTTGAGTCTATTTTCATAGACAAGCTTTCATCTCATGTCAATTATTAACCTTTCTAACCAGACCGTTCCATATCACTGTCCCTCATTTCCTTCTCCTCATCGCAGAACAAGGAAGCTGGTTGTTAAAGAGCTTTAGATTTTATTTATTTTCTGTGTCTCTTCTGTTAGTCGGCCTTGTTTAAAAATGTAAAATGCTTTGATAAATAAAGTTTTATTTATAGAACTGCAGACTGGTTGGCAAGAGAAAAAGGAGAATATTTCATTTAAATACTTCGAATCTTCCAAGCTTTTATAAAAACCTTCCAGTCAGCCGATGCAGCCATTTTGTCAAGCAGATCAAATCTGAAAGCAATTTTTAGAAATTACCCATGAAGGCCTTTGATGAAGATAACATTTGTTTCTGTTTCTTGGGGTAAACGTTGGTTGTTTTAGAACAAAACAAGATTTTATTTGAAAGAAATATGTATTCAAATATGAATAAACAAACTCAGACAAAGGGGCTGCATTATGACTGCAGAAATAAATCCCCTGGAAATCCCCTGCAATGTAGTCATAGCTGGTCCCTAAATGCTCTGATTCACTGCTGTGCTGTAGATATACCCTGAATGTAGAGACTTCTCTTTTAAAGAAATTACTAATATTTACTGCCTAGGTTTTATTTTTCATTAGACAAAAGATGTATCATTCATGTTTTCTTAGTACAGAGGAGTAGATGATAAATTGAATTATATTTCTAGATATGATGCAAATTACTTTAATTCTTCATTTATCCTTTTAAACCCCTGGATGTTTAAACATACAAAAAACAAGTACAGAAAACCCTAAATAATGAAAAATAAAACAGACAAACTTGGCCAAGTTCTTCTAAAAAAATTTTTAAAGACAGGCAATGATGTAAAAAACCCCTGAGCTGATGCTCCACAGAGCATGGGCGGTTCTAGACAGGGGCCAACGGGGGCCAGTGCCCCTGTAGATCATGTCCTGGCCCCTGTTATGGCCCCTGTGCTGAAGACATAAAAGCGTAATTTTCGCACTATAAGCTGCGACTTTTTCCCCATTTTTCGACGTTGCGGCTTATATAACAATGCGGCTTTACTATGGACTTTTACAGCTAACGGCCACTAGGGTAATACCTAAATCTATGGATTTTACCATCCACCATGTTGACGTCACATTTGCTTCAACACACAAGTACGGTAGCCGCGCACGGGGGAATGCGGAGGTCCTTTTAGAAGCAGACTTCTACCGCGAGTGGTACGAGACAGAACGACAGCGAGAAAGACGGACATTGCGAGCGCAAGACATTTTGTGTGACACCCTCGTTATGGAAAAAAAACGTACTGGTTAATAAATGGGAGCTTCTATTGCACTAAATTATAACAGTTAACGTATGCAAATATGCAAATTGTGTTGAAATGTTAATAAATAGGAGCTTCCCCAAACAGTTGCCTCTTTCCCGACAATCCTCTCTGTGCACGAACCATATGGTAATTAAACATAAAAAACCTGCGGCTTATAGTCCGGTGCGGCTTGTATATGTACAAATCATGCAATTTAGCGTCTGCGGCTTATATTCAGGTGCGGCTTATAGTCCGAAAATTACGGTAATCATTCTAATGATGATATGCACTGGAACAGATAGGTCCGATAGGTCCTTTGGTTCTATTTCATTTTTGTCCTTTACAAATTCTGTTTTACTCATTTTTTTTTTTTAAATAAGATGATAGCTTCAGGGGTATTTAGATAGGATCCCAGTTTTCATCTGCTAAATGTTTTTTCAAAAGAAATTAAAAAGAATACTTAATTTATCTGTTTTTCTTGAGTTCTAACTTAACTCAAAAATATGTCAAATTTCTAAATTATGAATGTATATTGATCTAATAAGATATAGAATTTTAATTAAACCTGTTTGAATAGAAATGTCACTTTATGCAGTTATATTATATTTTAAATCTCTTGCCCTGTTTTTTATTTCATGCTTTTCTGTGCCTCCATGAAAACATGCTGGCCCCCTCCTGGCCCCCTGGGACATTTGGTCTAGAACCGCCACTGCCACAGAGTTTCAGAAACATCCAGAACACCAGCTCGTATGGTTTTATTAGCTACCAGCTAATTTCAACAATTTCTTTTACAAATTTCACTTAATTTTACTTTAATGTCTCGATGTTGATGTTAAATAAAATCGGAATCGGGGGCGGATTTAGGAACTTTGGGGCCCTAGGCTAAGACAGGCATGGGGCCCTCTGAATTAGGAAGACAAAGCATAAAACAGACCTGTTATACAGATAGATAGATTTTCATAGAAAAGACATACACTATTTGTTCTAGGTTTTGCCCCTCTCTTCCTGTCCCTTTTCTTCTTGTTTTCCTCTCTATGTTTTGTACTCAGCTGACTTTTCATGCTGTCTCAAAAAGAATGCAAGATTTTTTTCAGTCACTAAGCTCACTTAGCTGATTGCTCCTTCCTGTGTTTCCAAAAAGGCTAAAGTAAATAACCCAGTCCTTCTTTTCACTGTAGAGAGCAGAGTTTGCTGCTTATATATGTCGTCGCCAAAGTCTCCAGTAGCAGAAAAAAGTAGCTAGATTTTGCACTAGGCACTTTTTTGAAATCAAAGTGCTAGAGGAGTCTGAAAAGTCACTAAATATAGCGACAAAAGCGCTAAGTTGGCAACACTGCTCTTCGCACTGTTTGATTTCCAATGGTTTGCTGCTGCCTGTTTGGACCTTTCTGAACATGTGCAGCAAATTGACTGATCCAATATGGTGGACACTGAAGGGTGGGGGGGGCTGAGACACACTTAATATTATATTAAAAAGGATTTTTTATCAAAAACATAATTAATGTGCACAAATAAGGACTAATTGTATTAACAATTCATGTTTTATGGGGCCCCCAGGAACTTGGGGTCCTAACTGTTTTTGCTAATGTTAAATCCATCTCTGATCTGAATCCTGGGAAAATGATCAAGTTAGAGGATTAAACAATGTCATCAACCTTAAAAATACTTTTCTGTCTCGGAAAATGAGAGGTGAAAAGCTGACCTCCAGTCATTGGTTTCTGTTTCTGTTCCTGTTTATTTTAACTGGTCCATTTATTTTAAATGCTTTAGCTGAATCCTGGAGCTGCTTTAAGGACATTCTGGGACTTATCTATGAAAAACGAGACCTAAAACCTACTCAAACCTTTACATTTCCAGACCTGTTTTTTTATTTTATAAAATCAGAAAAAAAAAATCATTTAAACTTAAAAAGAAAAATCCGCTTAGGCTATTTACTAAAATGCCCTGTTATTACCCGTGTGTGTTTTGCTTATTGTGATCAAACCAGCCCAGGTTTCTGGCCCCTGAAAGGAGAGCTGGTTCTTGTGGTGAAGTTGATAAACCAGAAGACCAAACCTGACCCAAAAAATTCTCAGAAAAATAAGAAAATCTAAAACTGAAAAAGTCTGAAGGTTTAACCAATTTCCTTTCTGTCTAGATCAGGTGTCTTCAACATTTTATAGGGCAAGGGACCCCCAAACTGATGGTGAGATGGCAAGGGCGTAGGTTTTATTTCAACTTTGGTAGGGACACTATTCTTCAGTTTCATTGGTCCTTTGCAAAAATATGCATGCTCTTTTTTATGCTTAATGTGAGCTTCAGGGCTCATTTTGTTAAAAGAGAACAGCAGCATTTCTTGCAACATTAGTACAAATCTTATAAGCACTACATGCACTAGATGCTGTTTATCAATATTTAAAGCATCACCGGCTCTGATGAATGTGGAATTAGGACTTTTTCCACTTTGAAAAGGATTGCATTAAAATTTACCTGCGACTAAGACAGTGTCTGTTTAACCAAATATAGTCTATATGTGGATTTATCCTGTGTTTTTCTTCTGAAGATAGAGAATTGTGCAGAGGTAAACCCCACTCTTATTTTTTTTTATCTAATATGCTCTCTCTGGATCATGCAAAATAATACAGTCAAGGGACAGCAAATAAATGTATTGTATTTACATGTGCACTGGAACTAGAAGAGGAACTGACACTGAGCATTTAAAATATTAATATTAGAAGTTGTACACTAATTTAGTAATTGATTAATCGTAAACTGGTGTATAGGGCCACTAAAATGTGCCTTTAGCCGACAGAGCGACCCACTTAGAGCAAGAATTATAACAAGATTGTAAAAAAATATTAGCATTTAAGAAGTAAAAAAAAAAAGTTTTTGTCTGTCAATATTCTCCATCCAGAACTCCTCCAAAGGAAAAGTTTAAACGTTTCTGTTTCACCTGGTTTCATTTCATAAAAGATCTTCTTTAAGGAGCCTTTGGCTATCTGATTAAAAGATAGAATAAAATAAATCCTAACGTTGTTAACTTACATTTCTCAAGTTCCACAAAAGTTAAAGTTAAACCGCGCAGCACAGTTGATGCGCTGCTATGTGAAAGGGACAGGAAAGAGCAGGCAGCTGCAGCTACCAGGCAGAGAAGCTGTGAGAGGAAAAGAAGCGGCTGCTGTATAGTAAATTATAAACATGTTATTCACATATAACTGTTGGTAGGGACAAATGGGTCCGTCCAACATTTTGGTAGGGACATGTCCCTATGGTCCCTATGCAAACCTACGCCCATGTGAGATGGAGCAGGGACCCATTAATTATATAAATTACATGAAATTGTGTTATATTATTAAAGATTATTAAAGTATTTCTGATTCTGATTCCTGGTTGATGGGACAGGTGTTGTGAATGAAACGGTGTCCAGCTTGAAAGAGCGCCTGTGTGTCGCTGAATGTGTGCATTGATGACTGAAAGACATTTTCTGCCTGTTGGGATCTGGAGATGTACCACCTTTCTCGAGCAGAGTGCACTGTGGGTCTCCTGGGCTGGAGCCCTCCAGCACACCTGACTTTCATCAACCCATCAGGAGACCTACCAGTGGCGGCCGGCCCATAGGGGGCGCTGGGGCACCGCCCTCCCTGATAAGAAGAGAGAAACGTAAAATATATTTTTAGAAATTAACTCATAAATGTCAGTTTTACTCTCTAGAGTGTGTACCTATAAGCAAAACAAATTATATAAACTATATTTCCCTATCTACTGTCATTAATTTGTGGATTTCCACAGACAGACTCCTACCGTCTCTGTTCTGGGGGCTGTGATCAGACAGACCCACATTTCCAGAGAATCTGTCAATCATGTACTATTGCTAGGTGAATTTAATGGCCAATCAGCGTCTCGGAACTTTATGGTATTGGGGCGCTGAAAATACTGCGCTTTAACAGGCTTCTGAACCCAAGCGCAGGTGCAGACAGTTAGAGGGACGATGGCGAACGTAACGAGCGAGATGCAGCTTCCACCAAATTTGGTGAGATCCTTATTTATCTACCCGTTTGCTAGAAGAACATCCCTGTTGTAGGATATGAACATTTCATGTCATGGTTATTGTGACTGTGACGAATCCACATCCTCTAACTTTGCGCGCCACACACACATTCCTGTTATACTGTGTTTGTGAGGACCAATACACTCGCGCTGAGCCCAGTAGCTCCATGAACTTAAAACACACAAGCTGTCCTGGTTACCTGCTGGCGTATTGAGGGTGCACACTTAATATTTCAGTGGGGTTAGCCGTGTGTGTGTATGTGTGTGTGTGTGTGTGTGTGTGTGTGTGTGTGTGTGTGTGTGTGTGTGTGTGTGTGTGTGTATGTGTGTATGCTACGGGGACTTCTCATCTTCAGTCTGGCTGCGTCTTTGCTGGGTTCAAACCCAGTTTGGTGTAATTGAATAAGTCAATGAATCTGTGTAAAGGAATTAAGTTGTAAAAATTATTTGTTTTTGTACATCAATTGTTTGTGGAGGTAATATATGGACAAAACTGATTAATGAGAAGAAATCAGAAATAAGAGAGCCTGAGGGTAGGGGCTTAAACTATTTAATGAGGGCTGTGGGAAGAAGAGCGGCCATTTCTGTTTTCTGTTTCTTTGTTACATTGCTGGTAACTGGAGGGAGGCTGAGGCCCAGAGTATCTTGTACATGTTTAGTTTCTTTTGCACCCTGTTTTGAGTTTTTGAGCACAATAAATCACCTACACCGGTAACCTGACTGAGCCTGGATTCTTGGAGGCCAAAGAACCCCGTCACAGTGACCCAAATCATCACTGTTACTGTTATTATATAGTAAATTAAATCATTACTGTTAAATTGTATGTATTGTCCAATTGTTTATTTGAATTCTTATTCCGGATTAGTTGGAGACATACACTAGGCTATATCAGCCCCACCAAAAATATTTTTCACCAGCCGCCACTGAGACCTACCTACATAAGCAGCTGCCAGACCTTCCTTCAACGCTGCAGTGTTTACCTTAGTTTGGTTAGCAACCTGAGCCTCTGTTACCTGAAGAATCTAAGTTGTCTCTAAGTGAGAAAACTGATTCTAACCTTCCTCTGTCTTTGCTCACAGGAAACCTGTCTCAAGCCTGAAGCTCTGGGTGAGCTTAACCTGCCTTCCAGCCCTGGTGAGCCAAACCTGAAGATTCCTATTTGGATTTCCCCTGCTGCTCTCTGTGAAGAGCTCGAAACTCTGATCAAGGTCTGCCATTCAAAGTCAGAAGCTAGACGCTGCAGCTGCTTGAGTACTCTGCTGAACCAACAGTCTCTGGACCCAACGGTTCCCTCTCTCACAAGTGAAGCCTGGACCCCATCAAGGTAGAATCAGAATTATCTAAAAGGACTCTTTAATCATCTTCCTGCCCAGCTAATCAAACTATCATCTCTGCAGACTTCAGTGAACCCAACCCGGACCTGTTCCAGATCCAGTTCATGTCTTTTGTGTCAAACATCTTTAATAAACTCTGTTAAACTTTTACCCAGCCTCCTTTGTTTTCTGCATGTGGGTTTGATATTAAACCAATCATGACACTGCCTCCATTTATCTGTTTATTACAGTGGGTTGAATTCGTGTTAATGTGGATTTAAAGACATTTCAATTAGTGGAAAAACAATGCAGGGGGGGATATAAAAAAAAAGTCTAATCAACCTAAACTTTCACGACCCCCATGCAGTACCCCCATGGCCCCCCTAGAGGGCGCGGACCCCTGTTGAAGACCTCCGCTTTAGATTAAAGTCTCTATGGTGCCAAAAAAAACGGGAAATAAAAGAAGTCTGTACAGAAGTCATCAAGGGACCGAGAGCTGAAGAGGTCTTGTGCGAAATTCTGTTTCCCCGTGAAAATCTGTTCCCCCTGTGTCGGGAGCGCGCATTGCAGCCAGAGAGGCGGGTCTGACCATTCTCAAGGCGCTCCTGATTATTTTCCGGTAAAAACAGCATACCGATTCTCTTGGCGTTTAAAAAACAACACAAAACAGCGTAAGAGGACCTTGTTAATATATTTATTTTACAGTTTTTTAAAAAGAGCAACCGAATAAAATTGATGTTACAAAGTTGAGATGATTATATGAGCTGTTTTTACCGAAAAATGATCAGGAGCGCCTCTGAGAATGGTCAGATCCGCCTCTCTGGCTGCAATGCGCGCTCCCGACACAGGGGGAACAGATTTTCACGGGGAAACAGAATTTCGCACAAGACCGGAAACCATTAGTATAAAAAATAAATAAATAAATAAATGAAAACTTCTCAGACCATCTGTGCCAGATTAGAAATGGGAAAATGCCATAAAAACAAACAAACAAACTTCGGTGCTGCAAGAAGCAACATTAAACCGCCTGGATCAGTTGGACAGGAATGACCGTTAGAATCATTTCAGCCCAGATGTGAAGTGAACATCTGGAGCAGGTTGGCTTTCTAACGGTAACAGTGAGAGCAGCTCCCAGCCTGAGCCTCAGAGTAAAGAAAACAGGAGCAGAGTTCATCACTCACCGGGTTGTAAAAGGGAGACTGGTTGAAAGCCATGATCGGAACAAAGCAGCAGGAAGAAGCTCTGAGAGGAGAAAAATCTGCTTCTCTGGGTTTACACACACAGAATAGAGGATTTTAGAAAATGGTTGCTGCTTTAAAGCGGATTTTAGGTTTCGGTTTCGCAGAAGGAGGAGGGGTTTAAATCTTAATATATAGAACTTTCTTGTCCATGGATGGCTCTACAAGGGGGCCAAGAGGGGCCAATGCCCCCCTAGACCCAATCACGGTCCCTGTACAGAAAGCAGACACTAGAACATTTAAATGCAAGTCAGTGTTTCTTGAAAAAATTGTATTTTCCCTTGATATAAGCAGGATGGCGAGACAACTTAATAATGGAATGAGATCAGTTAAATTTTAAAAAAGGAAAAATATCTATTAATTTAAGTGGATAACATGTAATTATCCTATTTTGGGGACAAAAACAATGGCTGTGTTCAGACAGTAGCCTGAAGGGACCCAAATCCGAGTTTTTTTGCCCATATGCGACCTGGATCTGATCTTTTCATGACAGTCTGAACAACACAGATCAGATTAATTCCAATGCGACCCAGGCCACTTGGGCTACGTTCACACAAGCCTTAATGCTTAATTCCAATTTCTTTGTGAAATTGCCTTTCACATTTCTAAATATATGCAATTTGTATGTGATCGCCTGTGTGAACTGCATTCATACAATGCACGTGTCCCGCATGCATAGCAGAGGACGCAATGACGTCACAAGCAAGCGTTCTCGGTGTTTACCCCAGGCTCACACCGACTCCGGTCTTACCGGTGCGGTGGGTGCGGCGCCGCAGTGATTCCAAGTCATTAAAAAGACGTAAACCTCTCTCACCGGCTGCTGAGCTGTCCGGCTGCGGTTACCGAGACACTCCGGCGCTGCAGAAAATTCAGCAAGAAAGCTATCCTTGCGGCGTGCCGGAGCCCTCCGCAACAAGCTCTCGCAAATATCCTTATTTGGGCCGTGTTATCGGGCGAAGTTACGTGAACTCAAGTGAACTTCTGTTAAATCTCCGGACCTGTTGCCGGAGCCGCAGAGCCGCACCGCACCGTAGTCAAAAGGGCGGTGTGAGAGGGGGTGTGCGGGTGTTGCGGTCTTCGTCGGCTCGGTAACCGCACCGGAGCCAGTGTGAGCAAGGGGTTACAGAAGTATACATGGATAATAGCGCTGGAACGCATTTAGCAATCTTACCCAACCTTAAAACTCAATCCTTTCAATATGGATAAACATAAACACTGCTCTCCACATTATTGTCCGCCATGATTGTTATTTTTCTTCCAACTTCTGCATAGCAAGACACAGACTTGTGATCTTTGGCTACGTTCAAACTGCAGCCTGATGTGACCCAAATCTGATTTTTAGGCGCATATGCGACCTGTATCTGATCGTTTCATGGCAGTCTTAACAAAATAGATCTGATTTCTCTTATGCGACCCAGGCAATGTGGTCATGAATCCGATATGAATCTGATCTTTTCAAAAGCGACCTCTGTCTGAACGGCCAGGTCGCATTCATCCGACCTGAACGGCATTAGTAACCGACATAGGTAACTATTCTGGGTCTTGCTATGAAGAAGTGGCAAGGGAAACAACAACCATGGGGGACGATGATGTGGAGAGCAGTATTTATGTTAAACATCTTGTAAAGATTGTGTTTTTATGGTTGGTAGAGATTGCTAGACGCGCTCTGGCACTACCATCCATGTTTACTTCTGTAAACACAGAGGACACTAGCCTATGACGTCATTGCGTCCTCCAATGCACATGCAGGACACTTGCATTGTATGACTTCAGTTCACACAGGAGATCACATACAAGTTGCATATATTTGTAAATGTGAACAGGAACGCAAAAAAATCAGATTTCACAAAAAAATCGGAATTGAGCATCAAGGCCTGCACTGTGAACGTAGCCTTTGATGAGTATTAATGACGTTTAAGTTGGATGGTCGGACCTGGTCGTTCACACACAGGTCACATTCCAAAAGATCAGATTCGTATCAGATTCAAGACCACATAGCCAAGTGGCCTGGGCCGCATTGGAAAAAATCTTATCTGTGTTGTCACACTGTCATGAAAAGATCAGATACAGGTCGCATATGGGCCAAAAAAATTGGGGTCACTTCAGGCTGCAGTGTGAACGTAGCCTTGGATATGAGGCTTTTTGACCATCTTGAAAAGATTGAGTTTTAAAGGTTGGTAAAAGATCGCTAGATGAGCTCCAGCACTACCATCCATGTTACCTTGCATAAGCACAGAGAACGCTTGCTTGTGATGTCATCGCGTCCTCTACTGCGCATGCGGGACACTTGTGTTGTGTGAATGCAGTTCACACAGGAGATCACATACAAGTCGCATATTTTTTGAAATGTGAACTGCAACGCAAAAAAAAAAAACAATTTCACAAAAAAATCGTGAATGTAGCTTTATTTACCGCTCAGTTTAAGGGCAAATATGCATATTTTAGACCTTTTCACTATTTTAGGTAATCCTTTGCTAATATTTTTGTGTAAAGTAATTTTGTACTATGATGTAATCTAACATAAGGGACTGCAAAAGGTGTCCATGTAACCAAGTCTCACTAGTTGATCTGACTATAAAGTAATTTTAAACTTGTTTTGAGATTAACATACTTATCTTGAGAGTATATTTTATGATATCAAAGAAGTTGACAAAGTACAATTGTCACCACATCGACAGATTATTGTACTGATTTGGAGTGGAATCTTGTCTAAAGCAGATTAATAATCTAAGAATCTGTATTTTCATGTTTCGTCTCAAAACCAGATCAAAAAAAATATTATTATTTTTTTTTTGGCTAGAGCCTGGTTAAATGTACAATTTTCCAGAGTGTCTCTTGGAACAATTTAATCATTCACCTTTACAATTTACTTTAACAGTAATTTGAAAATTACAGTCACTTTGAAGCTCCAGCCATTAGTATACAACCGCCGTCAAGTCTGCAACTAGCTTTTTAATTGTGCTAAATTTTGTCTAGAACCACCACTGATCCTGTCTTATCTATTAATGTGTGTGTGTTTGAGGGGACTTCCCATCAGAGAGGAAAACGTTAAAAAAGGAAAGTCCTGTCAGCTTCCTCCTGTTGGTCTTCTTCCTTAAACCTAACTGCTTAATGTCCCAAAACCAATTCTGTTTAAAGCTTTCCGTGGTCTCTTTGGAGAATATGTTTTGGTCCGCTGAAACCAAACAAACAAACTTCCCCCATAGTGAAACATGGTGGTGGCTGCATAATGATCTGGGGTAGCGTCCTACAGAACCTCCTCCTACAAAGTTAAAAGATGTGCCACGAGGTTATTCAGGCTTTTTATTGATATATAATCAGGATTTATCTAAACGTTTTTAAATTAAGAAAAACTTAACTCAGAAACTTGTTAAAAACCCTGCAGCCCCGGTGAAAAACAAGCAGTATGCAGGTTGTAAAGTTTAAAGATTAGAGTTGCTACTGTTTAACCAGACTTATCATACTTTATGGTTCCCATCACATGTTATGCATATCCATCACTTCCTTTTTTCGCTTCTATTTTGTTCTTTGTCCGGATGGCTGCCTGTTGCATTTCAAACCACATCAGTAAAGCTTCTTGCAGCAAGATGCAACACCTGCGTGGAACCACGCAGGTGTTGCATCAGTTTTATGAAACACATTCTCTTTCAAAAAGGTCTCAGAAGAAACAAACTGAGGTTTTTTTTTTCAGGCTTATTGTATGAATGTTCAGGATGAAGAAAAAAAAGAAGAGAAAAAAAAAGAAATGAAAGCGAAAGAGAAGGTAGGTCAGATGACACTGAGTTCACCCTGCTGTCCAACCAAGGGTATAATTTGTGATCAAAGTTTGTGGGGACGCTCTAAGGGTTCGAGGCTGATAGACCTACAGTTACTCGACCCGAACGCTTTAATTAGGTTTTTGTATTTTAAAAAAAATCAGCTCAAACATATATTTATTGAATGCTTTCCTATTGCTGAGAATATAAGATAACCATAATACACTGATTTTCAACTTTATAGATGTTAGAGAGACGCCTTTTAGTTCATTACATATATAGGGCCCAAAAATATTAATGTATAAAAAGATAATTAATAACAGCCGATTCTAAAGCCTAAATCAATATATCATGTATCCCTAGAAGTGAAATTTCAGTTCCATCCATAAATCCAGAAAAATATGTATGTGCTGTTTCACCTTTAAATCTGCAGCTCTCCCTACTTCTCTCTGAGCTCCGTTAAAAAAGATCTATGAACCTCTTTACTAATATAATGATGCCAGAAACCAAATTTCAAGATATATAGAAGCTCTGCAGTCTGATTCTATCTGTCCCAAAAAAAAGATGTTAATTTTAATCTGTAACTGGGGGTCATTGTCCTCTGAGAAGCCAAGATTTTTAACTAGTAAAGACGAACAAACTATGTTTTCTCAAGCTTCTTGCATTATAATACTAACCTATATAAACTTACAATCAGATTTTTCGGTGGCGTCTCTATTGTTTTTAACCAACCTGTCTCCTAACATTTACTTTAACATTGGTTAGCCGCAGGTTAATATTCACTGAGTGCTGCTCTGTGTCTCTCCTACAACTATGTAGTTACTTCTTACTGGCGATGATGCCTTTTTTCAGCCCTAAGTACTGGCCAGTACTGGCCGATACCGATACCATCTGTTTGAAATTGATGTGTGTGTGTATATATGAAGAACTGCATACTACTTAGATGTTAAATAATTGCCATCGTGGCTTTGTCAAGCTGCTGCCTACCTTTGTGAAGCAGGAAAAAATATAATACAAAGTGAATCCAGTAAAACTTTTTATTGCCTACCTGGAATGGGTGACAATAGTTTAATCAACTTTTGGCTCTCAGAGTCCAAAATAGTGAAACATTTGTGAAATTATAACATGTATAATAGTAGACAGTAAAATTACATTAATAATTAAATAATCAAGAGAACTGACCAGGGTTTGTTACTGCGGTCCTTCCCGGTTTCTCTTGGCAGTCTCAAACTCTTTGTGTTCGTTCACGTTTCTACTTCAAATGTTTGATCAGGTTTGAGGTATTGAAACTGCCCGGTTTAACTCCACCTCTCGAAATGTTCAGGTCTCAAATCTT